CAACTTTAAAAAATTCTAAAAAAAATCCTAATGATGCCACGAAATCGAAACTTTCACGAATCAGAGACTGAACCTTTGTGTATCCAATAAAAAAACTCCGTGAATTTATAGCTCTGCCGGTTTGGTTGCAAACAATTTTTTACGCACCCAATGCAAAGTAGTCTGCTGCATACCGCTTTTCATAAAAATTGCTCAACTTCCAAAATTCTTAAAAAAATTCATGAATATGCCAAAGAAATGAAACTCTAGCACATCAAAGAGTCAACCTCCTCAATCCTAGGCAAATATTCGCGAATTTATTGCTTTGCTGGTTTGGTCGCAATAATTTTTTTTATGGAACCGTTGCATATCGCTGGCTGTGAGAGCTCTGATTAAAGCTCACTTTTGAAAAATTCTAAACAATTGCATGATGTTGCCAAACAAGGCAGACTTTCAGGAATTAATAATTGAACTTTCGCGTATCCAATGCAAAAATTCTTAAATTCTTAGCTGCTCCGGTTTGGTCGGTAGCAATTTTGGACGTAACCCTTGCTAAAGTGTCTGTTGCAGACGTTCTTAATAAAAATTGCCCAAATTAAAAAATTGTTGAATTTGCCATCAAAACCAAAGTTTCACAGGTCGAAGAGTGAACCTTCTCGAATGCAACACAAACATTTGGAAATATGCAGCTTTTCTAGTTTGGTTGGAATGATTTTTTTACGGATCCATTGCAGATCATCTACTGCAAACGTTCTTTAAAAAATTGCCCAAATTTAAAAAATTCTAAAAAAAATCCTAATGATGCGACGAAATCGAAACTTTCACGAATCAGAGACTGGACCTTTGTGTATCCAATAAAAAACTCCGTGAACTTATAGCTCTGCCGGTTTGGTTCCAAACAATTTTTTACGCACCCAATGCAAAGTAGTCTGCTGCATACGCTTTTCATAAAAATTGCTCAACTTCCAAAATTCTTAAAAAAATTCGTGAATATGCCAAAGAAATGAAGCTCTAGCACATCAAAGAGTCAATCCTCCTCAATCCTAGGCAAATATTCGCGAATTTATTGCTTTGCTGGTTTGGTCGCAATAATTTTTTTTATGGAACCGTTGCATATCGCTGGCTGTGAGCGCTCTGATCAAAGCTCACTTTAAAAAAATTCTAAACAATTACTTGATGTTGCCATTTTGCTTTAAGCCTTGGCATGTATTTTTGCGTGCCAAAAAATGCATGCCAAGGCTTAAAGCAGCAACAACGCTACACATAAAAACTGATGATGGTGGAAAAATACACCGAAACGTATTTTGATTGATAAATAGGGACAATACATGACTGAAACCCAGGAGTGAATTTGATTTGGAATTGAAACACAGTCAGGAAAGCATATACACCTACTGTGTATGTAGAGCAAACGCTCTTAATCAGCATCACTTAAGTTTGGAAAATTGCAAAAAATTTCTGATCAGCCCATGAAAATCAAGGAAGAAACCTTCGAGAGCGGAAGTCAAGAGTCTGGAAATTTCCAGCTGCCCTGGTTTAGTCAAAATCAATTTTTAGGCAGCCGGTGCAAAACTTTCCCCGTTAAATTGACCAACTTGACTTAAAATTCCTTAAAAAATCCCTGAAGCTGCAATCAAATCAAATCTTTCCCAAGTGCAATGGTCGACCTTCGGGCCAACCAACAATGCAACATTCAGTTCAATTTAGTG